GAGCGAAAGAACGCGAGAGAGAGCGAAAGAAAGCGAGAGAGAGCGAGAGTAAGCGAAAAAAACCGAGAAAGAGCGAGAGAAGACGAGAGAGCGAGAGAGAGCGAGAGAAAGCGAGAGAAGGCGATAGAGAGCGAGAAAAAGCGATAGAGAGCGGGAGAAAGCGAGAGAGAGCGAAGAGAGCGAGAGAGAGCGAGAGAGAACGAGAGAGAGCGGGAGAGGACGAGAGAAGGCGAGAAACAGCGAGAGAAAGCGAGAGAGAGCGGGAGAACGCGAGAGAGTGCGGGAGAGAGCGGGAAAGAGCAAGAGAGAGCGAGAGAGAGCGAGAGAGGGCGAGAGAGGGCGAGAGAGAGCGAGAGAACGGGAGAGAACGAGAGAAGGCGAGAAACAGCGTGAGAAAGCGAGAGAGAGCGAAAAAAACCGAGAGAGAGCGAGAGAAGACGAGAGAGAGCGAGAGAACGCGAGAGAGAGCGGCAGAGAGCAAGAGGGAGCGAGAGACAGCGAGAGAGGGCGAGAGAGAGCGAGAGAGAGCGATACAAAGCGGAGAGAGCGAGAGAAAGCGAAAGAAAGCGAGAGAGAGCGGGAGAGAACGAGAGAGAGCGAGAAACAGCGAGAGAAAGCGAAAAAACCGAGAGAGAGTGAGAGAAGACGAGAGGAGCGAGAGAGAGCGAGAGAGGCCGAGAGAACGCGAGAGAGAGCGGCAGAGAGCAAGAGGAGCGAGAGACAGCGAGAGAGGGCAAGAAGAGAGCGAGAGAGAGCGATACAAAGCGAGAGCGAGAGAGAGCGAAGAAAGCGAGAGAGAGCGGGAGAACGAGAGAGAGCGAGAAACAGCGAGAGAAAGCGAAAAAACCGAGAGAGAGTGAGAGAAGACGAGAGGGAGCGAGAGAGGCCGAGAGAGCGCGAGAGAGAGCGATAGAGAGCGGGAGAGAGCGAGAGAGAGCGAAAGAAAGAGAGAGCGGAGAGAACGAGAGAAGACGAGAAACAGCGTGAGAAAGCGAGAGAGAGCGAAGAAAACCGAGAGAGAGCGAGAGAAGACGAGAGAGAGCGAGAGAACGCGAGAGAGAGCGGCAGAGAGCAAGAGGGAGCGAGAGACAGCGAGAGAGGGCGAGAGAGAGCGAGAGAGAGCGATACAAAGCGGGAGAGAGCGAGAGAGAGCGAAAGAAAGCGAGAGAGAGCGGGAGAGAACGAGAGAGAGCGAGAAACAGCGAGAGAAAGCGAAAAAACCAAGAGAGAGTGAGAGAAGACGAGAGGGAGCGAGAGAGAGCGAGAGAGGCCGAGAGAGCGCGAGAGAGAGCGGGAGAGAGCGAGAGAGACCGGAAGAAAGCGAGAGAGCGAGAGAGAACGAGAGAAGGCGAGAAACAGCGAGAGAAAGCGAGAAAGAGCGAAAAAAACCGAGAGAGAGCGAGAGAACGCGAGAGAGGTGGGAGAGAGCGAGAGAACGCGAGAGAGAGCGGCAGAGAGCGAGAGAACGCGAGAGAGCGGTAGAGAGCAAGAGAGAGCGAGAGACAGCGAGAGAAAGCGAGAGAGGGCGAGAGAGAGCGAAAAAAGACGTGGGAAGCAAGAGAGAAAGGGAGAAAAAGGGGGAGAGAGAGGGGAGAGAGAGGGGGGAGAGAGAGAGAGAGTGAGAGAGAGCGAGAATTTATTTTTCGTTTGGTTGCTTAAAAGGTTAAGCAGCTGAGGAAAATGTCACTATACTAGGATGGGTGACCGCGGATAAGGTAAAGCAGCTTCGGACAGAATCACTTTGTCGGGATGGGTGACCGCGGACAAGTACGACGCCGTAGTCTTAAAAAAAAGTGACACCTTTTCGACCAAAAATAACTTGAAAAATTCATATCTCCGCAACCAATAGAGCTATCAAGTTCGTTAAGGTCTCATTTTACTCGGAAAAAATCGCGCTTTCGATTGATATGGTCATCTTTTGAAAAATATGTTTCCGTTCATGAAATATTTCAAATTTTTGTTTTCAAGGTTACGAAAATCGTGTTACGTCCGGTAAAGGATACACAGTAGCGTCCTACGGATAATTTTCGCTATTGTTTCGATATTTTCGCTATCTTTTCGATATCTTTCGATATTTTTTTTTGTTTTTTTGTAGATTGTATTTTAATTTGACGAATGAAAGATAACTTAGCGAGACGCTACCGCGTCTCCTGATACAATATATTGCATATAATTTATATAGAATTTTATGAAATTTTCTCGATAAGAGAAAAAGGGAAAGAAAGAATTTTACATTTTTCAAATCTTTATACAAATAAAATTTTCAGCTAAAACAAATCCTTGATTTTTACAGCACAAATGTTTATATGAATTATATCGCTAGGACATTATTTATATACATGTTTTATTGAAATGTTTAGAAATACATATGTACATCTAAAATTGCTGTGCAAAAGTTTTTAAGTTTTGTGTTTTAACCAAAATGTGAACGTCACGCGTTCTTTCAAGCGCATAGAAAGAAATGGTAAATTTGCTAATTCTAAATTACATTTTCTGCGCATGCCGAGGCAAGTCCTTATACCTATATCTTAGTGAAAACTACAATAAAATTATAAAATCTGAGGTCAAATTTAATAATAAAGAACAGACCGTCTGTATCGTGGAAAACGTCTCGCCTTTACATCAAACACACATCTGTGCTCTTTGTAATCGGCAAACTCATTTCGTGTACTGCGAAAAGCAAGGAATTAATTACGCGAATAGTTTAATGCAATCACTTTAATTTACATTCCTTTTTTGTGTTTTGTTTCTCATAATGTCTGATTATAAGATAACGTGCTTACCAGAAAAGATCATAGACAACATTCTCGGCTATAATGTTATCACTATTGAGGATATCATCAACTTTCGATGCGTGTGCCAGCAATTTCGTTATGCAGCAACCAAATATAACAAGTTCTTGGAAAAAAAGTTATCTCAAAGGTAATTCTTGTGGTTTGTAAATCTTTTTGTTATTTTGTCTCATTAACGCCTGTCGCACAATGATTATCACTTCTGCGAAGAACGTATATTATAAATATGTAATAAATACAAAATATTAGAAAAATTAGGTATGTTGCATTTATGTTGCATATAAATTATTCGCTTTCATTTTTTCTATTGCTCAATAATTTTGGCAAACTCTACCGTTATATATATACATATATAATATACATATACATATATATATATATATATATATGGAATGTAAACGTTAAATATAATATACTGAGAAGAATTCTTAATTTTCGACTGTCACAAATTAAAAGACCAAATATTTTTCAACCGACATTTTTCAATTGATGTTTATTTAATTAATCACACAACGTTTCGACCACGGTGTTTCGACCATATAATTTTGGTCTTTCGCACACTTAACAATAACACTTGAGAAAGCCATAAATTATATGAAACGTTGTGTAATTATTTAAATAAATATTAATTAGTTTATATGCATATCGGTCGAAAAAGATTCAGTCATTAAATAATTTTTTTTAAGATTTAATTATTAAAAATGCAACGTAAAAGTGACTTGATTTATTTATTATAATGTGTATTGTTCAATATATTTAACTACATTTTTAAATATAAAAATTATATTAATGATATATATTCGTGATAAAAGCAAACACATTTGATATTGTTCTATCGGTTCTTTTTTATAAATAGCATCAAAATCACAATAAAATTTTTATAAAAGTAAAAAGCATGCCAAGTGACATATATAAGCACAGTCGACATTGTTTGTAAATATGCTTTCGAAAAATTGTTTTACAAAATATTAAAAAAAAACTTAATCTATACACAGAACTGTGGCGTCATCTTATCTGCAAATAGATAATAAAAATATGTATTGTCTTTATATCTGCATCTTACAAATAGATAAAAAAAAAGTACTACCTTTACTATATTATTTATTAAAAATAATTTTTAGATATATTTGATTTAAAATCATAGCACATTGGAATACTTAAAGTAAACAATAAAGCGATAAAAATATAAATATATATATTGTTGTATCTTTTTCATAACTTATATTTCTTGTATAACTGTGTTTACATAACAAGTCTTAAATATTATTATCTAAACAATTATCTAAATAAATCGTCATATAATTGTATCTTTTATCTAGATATATTTGAAACAAAATCATCTTCATTCAATCTAAGATGAATCTACATACTTTATCTCATCTTTATCCAGCTAATTTTAAATTAATCTTGACACAACACTAAGTATCATCATCAAAAATTTATTACAATATTTTATGGTCGTATTTTAGATGGCCCTATGCGAAGAAAAGATATGAAAGTCTTACGGAGAAAGAAAACAAAGAAAACCTAAACTTTGTTACAATAGGCATAAATTCTGCGACACATGTGCGGAATTATTTGTCTCACATTCTTTTTATAATTATTATTACGATAATGAATCAATCAAAATGACTTCTATTACTTAGTTGATATTTTATTGGGAATAAAAATAATGTAAAAAAATTCAGTGGTAATATCGATAAATATGTACATTCTTTGCCTGAAAATCTATTTTTCCTGATCGTCCACATGAGCCTATAAATGTGCTGAAATATATGTTTTATATTGAGGAGATTAAATACTTGTTAACACAATTTCCACAGTAGGATTTTCATATATATTATAATGCTACTATTATTACAATTTAATGTATTTAATCATTAGTTAATACTTCAATATACATTTTTAGGAATCGCAAATCAATCGAAAGTTATTGCAATATAGAAATGTCTCACTATGAAAAGCTATCTTCGATACGAAATGAGTTGGACAGATATAAAAAGAAACTTGAGAGGGAACAGCTTTTGGAAGAAATTTGTACTTTCGAATCAAAATATATTCAAGTTCGAGAAGATGTATGTTACACGAATGTAAGTGCATCATTGGATACAATCGCACAAGAGGTACGGAATCGTCTCAGAGAGAAGCATCCGAACCATTCGATATTCTCCACGTCTGATAAAACTTTTTCCTTTGGAAAACCAACAATATCGAAGATAATCGATGGAATGACACAGAAAGTACGCATATTATGGATACACTCCAAGAATATATATTTCGCACCTTCTACATTCGAGCACGTATCCCCCCATTTTCACCCGAAGATATCAAATATTTGTGTATAGATTATGTAAGTTATTATTGATTATAATACATGTAATTATGGGCCATATATGTATACGTTATATGTTGTTTTTAATATTCTCTCGCTTTGATTAATTTGTCGTGTATTATACCTGGCACAGGTTTTACAAAGTAAAGTTGGTGAAGATATCATTGTAAATACAATATTTCATAGCGTGGCTAGAAGACTTGGTCTACGTTGCGATGTACTATATATTGAAGATGGATTCTGTATATTTTGGAAATCAAAATTGTAAGTACAGATATATATTAGATTCGACATTATCATTATTTCTCGATAATCTTTCTTTTTTATTATACGCTTCCAATATAATTTTTTATTATATAAATTTTTATAATGATTAAAGTAATAATTTAATTGTTTACAGAGTCACGAATAATTTTGAAAATGCAGGATGTTTTTACACACAAAAGTATTTCCCGGGTATCGTGTTATTGATAATCTATCAAAATACATGTCTGTAAGACCATTCGCAATAACAATTACAAAGGTTAAAATTACTTATTTATTACTTCTAATAATTTTAAGTTATTAATATATTTCTAAATTTACAAAGAATCAATATATTACACTAAATATGTATAGGAAGAAGAGAAATGTGCAATCTCTCATTTTTTAATTTATAATTAGATTTTTGTTTACATGTCGTCTTTATATTCATGTTTAATTAATTTTTTCAGATGTTGGAGTCCATAACACATATCGTTAGACAATTTATAATGCGACATATAATAAATGCTTTGCAATTAATCGAAGTTAAATGCATTATCCAAAAACCTTCGATATGATTAAAATGTATTGCAATCATATTATGATGATAGGTATTATGAGTGCAAGTTATATACATATAATGCAAAATGTGAGTAATTATATTAATTTAAGCATATTCATGTATACTCATAATGACATTTTTTGCAAACAGTTTCAAGATATCATAATATGTCTGTGTTTTGAGTAGCATATGAGCCTGCATCTGTGTCTATTTTTGTCATCATGTTTTAAAAAATATGAGTACAATATGAGTAAAGTACATACGCGCACTAACAATCGCATATTAGTATATAATATATACAATTGTAAACATATTGAACACTGTGAGATTTTTTTAGATAACAATTCTTTTAGATAACAATATGTATAATCTACAATTTTTTATAATTTAACGTGGTTAAGTGTTTATTGAGACATTTATTCACAAAAAAATCTATTAAAGTACAAATTTTACAGTTTGTGTCTTAGATTTCGTTTTAAATAGTAAAACAAATAAATAAAAACGTAAAATATGCCATAGTTGCATGGACCAACATAACAGACAGATGTTATATTGACACATACATGTATATACACGTATATGTTCGACTTTTGTTGATAAATACCATGCCCTATTTTTGTATGCAATGTCAATTGAATATCAACGACGAATAAAATGTATTTATCGTTCTCTGCTATATTTATTGTATTTATTAATATAAACAATTAAATAAGAAAAATTGTGATTGCAAGAATTTGAATTAGTGCAGTAAAATTTATATATTTAAAAATTTATAAAAATTAATTAATTTATGAACTTCTTTTTATTACTTTAAGTATATGAAAAATATGACATAATTAAAATTTACCATCTATTAATATCTAATATTTTGAAACTTTTATAAACGATAGTGCATTTGTATAAGTAAAAACAGGTATATTAATAAAAGACAATGATTATTATATTTTGAAATATATATAATACTTTTGTGTTGAAGGAGACAATAAAAACGTATTAATGATATTAGATTTTGTATGACATATTGTATGATACTTGCAGATTTTAAAAATTCGTGCAAGATTCAAGCAAGACTATAAAATTTGACTAATTCCAAAAAGTTATATCTTCCTTTTATGTAGAAAATTTCTTCAATGGATGAGGCATTATTTTAAGAAATATAACGAACAACGTTAACTATATATTAAAATATATTTAAATGTGGTAATTGTACAAAGACTTATACCAAAATTTTTTATATTATCTGAAAAAATAAAAATACATAATTGAGAAACACATGCTTTGTAATGAGACAGCAAATGTACTCCGCATTTGGGCACAGAACACATTTAATGTCATTAAAATGTAACACTTTAATTTCCGTTTCTTTGAAACTTCTGTTAGGACACTCATCTTGTATTTTATTTTTCAAAAATAAATTTATTAATTTTACAAATATGTTTCTTCAGTGATCGAGCGATTTAAACAATATACAATCCTCTACATCACATTATATAATAGTTTACACCCCGTATATACGCGCGAGTAAACTACATAAAATTGTTGAAATTCTTAAAATTTACACATTATTTATTAAAAAGAATGAAAAATAAACAGAAAGGAAGAGGGGAAGAAAGATTGAAATATATTTCATAGTATAAATAATGTCGTAACAATACTAATAATTCGTACAAAGATTCGTATTTATAAATTGGATTAAGTTTAAATAAATTTAATTAAATTGAAATTAAAAATCTGAACATTCATTTAAATGTCTGTGCTGTATTTTTTAAATTTATAAATTCATTCTTTGATTTTATTATGTGGCGCATTTATCATGATGTGAAATATTTTAACTAATTTCGTTCGACAATCGTCGACAATCTAAGGAAGAACATAAATTTAATGAAATAAAAATTATAACAAAGTTTAACATAACTATTAACGAAGAATGTTTTCATCGTATCATTTATGCAGAGGATCTCTTCGATGGATGTGGCATTATTTTAGAAGGTATAACAAACAATGTGGAGCATGCGATATCTGTGATAAAAATTTCATCCTATTATCTATAGATACATCTGTGATATATCATATAAAAATAAAGCATAAAGAAATTTATACATAATGTTTCAAGTGTGGGGCCTTTTTATTCTATATCAGAAAATATATTAAAATCAGGTAATTGTACAAAGACTTACACTAAAATATTTTATGTATCTGAAAATATAAAAAAACATAATTGAAACACACATACTTAGAACAGCAAATATACTCCACACTTGGATATAAAACACATTTAAGGTCATTCTGAAACGCAAGATTTGCGACAAATTTAATAAGATAAATAATTCTTTTAAATTAATGATATTTATTTCAACTTCATAATATCTCTGCATATCTCCAAATGCTACCAAAGGAGTAAGTGAAAAACCGATAAATATAAATATTACTATTTAGTTTTTCTTTAGTGATTAATATAAACTTTTGAAAAATAAATGAACAAATATACTTAATGAATAAGAAAGTTAGTCTCGTAATAAACAAGGAATGCGAGCCGAACGCGAAGGTTTGTGTTTTAGATAATAAAAATTAATTTTTCTCCTATGTCTTATAATTGTGCACAAGGCACGAAATTTGTTTAACATAGTGCTAACAATAATATTATTTAAAAATAAATATCAACTTGGTTCTCAATTTTAGAATATCTATTTTAACTCCTAAGTTTCCGATTCTGCAACTTCTAGACCGATATATTTTGCTTTTTCTACATCTTTTTAGGGAGATCAGAGAAAAACATAAGAACTAAAATCTCGAATTGAGATTTATTCACAAACATCCGCGTTGAGTTCGCATAGTCTGTTCATTTTGAATTTGCATTTAATCTATGGAGTTTTTAAATTGTTATAGTTTAAATTTCTAGAATATATACACCCCGTATATACGCGCGAATAAAACTAAATAAAATTGTAGAATATTCTTATATAAACTATGTGCATACATCAATTATTAAATATTTGTACTGTAAGTCGAGATATTTATATGTAAAGATTTAAAAATGAAAAATGTAAATCTCTCTCTTACCCCTTCTCTCTTATCGAGATAATTTGACAATGCACAGCACTGGAGTTTATAATTGTAGAATATAAATACATAAATATTATTGGTAGAATTTAATAAAATTCATGATAATTTGAAATAATATTATTTTAATTATTGTAAGCTTAAATAATACATAATATAAATACATGAAAATTAATAAAATTTAATATAACTAATAAATTTGTAAAAATATATTATTTAAATTAATCTTAAATAAAGAACAATAAATAAATAAATAATAATAATAAAAAAATAATAAATGAATTATTTACCACGTTTTATCTTTCAAGCGCATAAGAAAAAATGGTAAATTTGCTAGTTCTAAATTACATTTTCTGCGCATGCTGTGGCAAGTTCTTATACCTATATCTTAGTGAAAACAAGCAAAAAGGCTTTAAAATTTGGGGTCACATTTCATAATAAAGAACAGACCGTCTGTATCGTGGAAAACGTCTCTCGTATACATCAAACACACATCTGTGCTCTTTGTAATCGGAAAACTCATTTCGTGTACTGCGAAAAGCAAGGAATTAATTACGCGAATAGTTTATTGCAATCACTTTAATTTACATTCCTTTTTTGTGTTTTGTTTCTCATAATGTCTGATTATAAGATAACGTGCTTACCAGAGGAGATAATAACCATCATTCTCGGCTGTAATGTTATCACTATGGAGGATATCATCAACTTTCGATGCGTGTGCCAGCAATTTCGTTATGCAGCAACCACATATAACAAGTTCTTGGAAAAAAGTTATCTCAAAGGTAATTCTTGTGGTTTGTAAATCTTTTTGTTATTTTGTCTCATTAACGCCTATCGCATAATGATTATCACTTCTGCGAAGAACGTATATTATAAATATATAATAAATACAAAATATTAGAAAAATTAGGTATGTTGCATTTATGTTGCATATTAAATTATTCGCTTTCATTTTTTCTATTGCTCAATAATTTTAACATACTCTACCGTTATATATACATACATAATATACATATACATATATATATATATATATATATATATATATGGAATATAAACTTTAAATATAATATACTGATAAAAAAGGATTCTTAATTTTCGGCTGTCATAAATTAAAAGACCAAATATTTTTCAATTGATGTTTATTTAATTAATCACACAACGTTTCGACCACGGTGTTTGGACGATATAATTTTGGTCTTACGCACACTTAACAGTAACACTTGAGAAAGCCATAAATTATATGAAACGTTGTGTAATTAATTAAATAAATATTAATTAGCCTACATGTATATCGGTCGAAATATATTCAGTCATTAAATAATTTTTTTTAGATTTAATTATTAAAAATACAACATAAAAGTAACTTGGTTTATTTATTATAATGTGTATTCTTCAATATATTTAATTGCATTTTTAAATATAAAAATTATATATATGATATATATTCGTGATAGAAACAAACAGATTTGATATTTTTCTATCGGTTCTTTTTCATAAATAGCATTGAAATCACAATAAAATCTTTATAAAATTAAAAACATGCCAAGTGACATATATAAGCACAGTCCACATTGTTTGTAAATATGCTTTCGAAAAATTGTTTTACAAAATATTAAAAAAAACTTAATCTATACACAGAACTGTGGCGTCATCTTATCTGCAAATAGATAATAAAAATATGTATTGTCTTTATATCTGCATCTTACAAATAGAAAAAAAAAAGTACTACCTTTACTATATTATTTATTGAAAATAATTTTCAGATATTTTTGATTTAAAGTCATAGCACATTGGAATACTTAAAGTAAACAATAAAGCGATAAAAATAAGAATATATATATTGTTGTATCTTTTTCATAACTTATATTTCTTGTATAAATGTGTTTACATAACAAGTCTTAAATATTATTATCTAAACAATTATCTAAATAAATCGTCATATAATTGTATCTTTTATCTAGATATACTTGAAACAAAATCATCTTCATTCAATCTAAGATGAATTTACATACTTTATCTCATCTTTATCCAGCTAATTTTAAATTAATCTTGACACAACACTAAGTATCATTATCAAAAATTTATTACAATATTTTATGGTCGTATTTTAGATGGCCCTATGCGAAGAAAACATATGAAAGTCTTACGAAAAAAGAAAAAGAAGAAAACCTAAACTTTGTTATAATAGGCATAAATTCTGCGATACAATTGCGAAGTTATTTGTCTCAAATTCTCTTTTATGATTATTTTTACAATAATAGATCAAATCGAAATTACTTCGATGACTCAATTCATAATGTATTGAAACTCGAAAATACTGTAAGGGAATTCAGTGGTAATATCGATAAATATGTACATTCTTTGCCTGCATATCGATTTTTTTGTTATCCTCAACATCCTATAGATGTGCTGAAGAATATGTTTATTTTGAAGAAATTAAATGCTTGTTAACACAATTTCCACAGTAGGATTTTCATATATATTATAATGCAACTATTATTACAATTTAATGTATTTAATCATTAGTTAATGCTTCAATATACATTTTTTAGAGATCGCAAATCAATCGAAAGTTTTTGCAATATAGAAATGTCTCACTATGCGAAGCTATCCTCGATAGGAAATGAGTTGGACATATATACAGAGAAACTTGAAAGAGAACAGCTTTTTGAAGAAACATGTACTTTCATAGCACAACAAATTCAACCTCGAAAAGATGTATGTTACACGAATGTAAGTGCATCATTGGATACAATCGCACAAGAAGTACGGAATCGTCTCAGAGAAAAGCATCCGAACCATTCGATATTCTCCACGTCTAATAAAACTTTTTCTTATTGGAAAACCAACAATATCGAAGATAATCATTGGGACAAAACAGAAAGTACGCAGATTATGGATACACTTCAAGAATATATATTTGGCACTTTAAATTTTCGAGTATGTAGGTCCGTACCCGAAGATATCAAATGTTTGTGTATAGATTATGTAAGTTATAGATTATAATATATATAATTATGGGCCATATATGTATACGTTATATGTTGTTTTTAATATTCTCTCGCTTTGATCAATTTGTTCTGTATTATACCTGGCACAGGTTTTACAAAGTAAAGTTGGTTCAGAT